AATCTGGACGTGTTTGTGGAGACGTGCAGTTCAGGAAACTCAACACCATTTCTGCACATCTCCGCAAAAGCGTCCAGATTCAGGCGTTGAGGTAGTAGCTCAACGCTGCTAGTGGGACTTGGCCCCGGCAAGCATAGAAAATACAAGGATTTAAAAAAAAAACAAGAAAAAAAACAAGGATCAACAGAAGAACCGGGAATCATAACCTGTTAAGATTACGTCATGGGCAGCGGGAGACTACCGTCCTCAGCCGAAGAGAACGCCCGGTCATTATGGCTGTATCTGGACTGAAAATTGCACCAAATACCGTCGACCGAGGATCATAACCTCTTAAGTTTACTTAATGGGCAGCGAGAGACTACCGTCTTCACCTTATGGCTGTATCTGGACTGAAAATGGCACCAAATACGGCTGCGAGGATCATAACCTCTTAAGTTTACTTAATGGGCAGCGAGAGACTACCGTCTTCACCTTATGGCTGTATCTGGACTGAAAATGGCACCAATTACGGCTGTAATGACGGGGCGGGCGTTCTATTCGGTAGCTGAAGTACCCAGGCCTGCCCAGTAAAGCAGTAAAATGCCATGAAGCAATCCATCCTTTTTTTTTTTTTTTTTTTTTTGGAAGCAATCCATCCTACCTTGTACTTCCTTTAAAAGTGATAACGGGGAAAAAAGAAGTCAGGAGAAAACAGAGAACGCCCGGTCATTATGGCCGTATCTGGACTGAAAATTGCACCAAATACGGCTATAATGACCGGGCGTTCTATTCGGGGGAGGACGGTAGCTGAAGTACCCAGGCCTGCCCAATAAACAGTAAAATGCTATGAAGCCATCCATCCTACCTTGTACTTCTTTTTTTGTTTTGTTTTGTTTTTCCCTACGTCGTACTCCCTTTAAAAGGGATAATTAGAAAAAAAAAGGGACTCAGTGTGGAAGAAACATGGTGTACCAACTGGGCTGGGCCTATCCGTGTACCAGCTTTTTTTTTTTTTTTTTTTTTTTTTTTTGGATGTACCAGCTTTTCGATTCGGCCTTGGGCCCCTTCCGTGTTAAAGGTCTCATCAGGATAAGAGAGAGACACCGAGACAATCACCACCATAGCTGGCAGCCATAGCTGTGATTGGCTCTGCTTGCATAGAAGGCTAAGCGGGCAATAGGAATTCCCTGGATGTATCTGTGCACAATATAGGTCAGATTCAGTCGGGAAAAAAAAGAGAACTCCGAGTTGCTTTAACTAACTCTCCATACTTCCTTTTTTTTTTTTTTTTTGGCAGGCACAGCCAGCGGCGAGCGACAAGATCTCGTCTTCCTCCGACAAATCGGATATTTTATAATTATATATATATATATATTTTTTTTTTCTCCCAAGTTGGAGCCCCTGCCGTCTTCCCAAAATTGACAGCAGCTACATTTTCCTTGCAAAATCGGTGATCTAAATTTTCCTAAAACGGGCTGTCTGCTCCAGAAGGGTGCACTTCTGTTCCTCCCTCTCCTCCTCCTCCTCCCCTCCCCTCTCTCCCCCCTCCCTGGCAAAAAAAAAAAAGAAAAAAAAAAAGAGGCAGCTCCTCCAGTCTTTTCCCAAAAAAAAAGCTATTTTTTTAGTTTTCCTCCTGTCATAGAGTCGTTGCCACTCCAAAAAAAAAAAAAAAAAAAAGTCTCCCCGTCGGCGCCCCGAAGTCAGAGAGATGGAGGTATCTCCATCTCCCTCTCCCCGCCGTCGCCATCTCCATCTCCATCTCCATCCTCATCTCCATAGCCGTGTGAGCAGCATCTTCGTCTTCATCTTCGTCTTCATCGCCACCTACTCTCTCACCCTTCTCCTCCTCCTCTCTGATCTTCCTTCCCAAGCAGAGGCAGCGGACGCCATTAAGTTGACGTCAACATCAACCTCGTCTCCGACGACGCGGAGGGTAATCCGACGGACACCGCGATTCCCGGTGCCGCGGACTGGTGTGTGGGGACCACAACCAGTCCCGGTCCCAGTCCCAGTCCCAATCCCAATCCCAGTCCCGATCGCAGGCCCGATCACAGTCGACAGCGAGCAACAAGGAGGACCTCCCTTTTCCATACTCTCGCCGCAAGAACAGCAGCAACTCCAGCAGCAGCACGAGGAGAAGGAGAAAGCGGAGGGAGAGAGGGAGAAGGGAGAGGAAAGGGAGAGAGAGAAGGGAGAGGAGGGAAAGGAGGTGGTGAAAGGTGATGATGCAAAGGATCAGCAGGGAGAGCATGTCAATCTGTTGAAGGAGTACGTCTACGAGACTAAGTACTATACGCAGGTGCTCGATCATTTCTCGTTTGAGAGAAGTGAGGAACGGTTCCAGCAGCGGTACCTGGTAAATGACAAACATTGGGACAAAGAAAATGGTGGGCCCATCTTTATGTACTGTGGCAACGAAGGGGGGATTGAAACGTTCGTATTCAACACAGGGTTCATGTGGGACATCGCCCCGGAATTTGGTGCCATGGTGCTCTTTGTGGAGGTAAGCAATTTCTTTTGCCTTTTTTTTTTTTTTTGAAATTAAATGCAATTTTTTATTTGCAAAATATTTTCTTTTTCTTTTTCCGTTTTTTTTTTTTTTTTTTTTTTTTTTTTTCTTTTTTTTTTTTTTTTTTTTTTTTTTTTTTTTTTTTTTTTTTCGTTCTTTTTTTCTTTTTTTGGGCGAAGGTAGGTTGATCAGAACCAGGAAATAAACCCCGAATCTGCTTCATCAAGGTGTTACATTGCTTCGTGATGCATTCTCTCTCTCTCTCTCCCTCTCTCTCTCTCTCTCTGGGGAAGGCTAAGGACACAGGGTATAAATTTCGAGGACAGTGGCTGAAATGATTACCTGAGCAGAGAGGTAGCAGAGAGGTAGTAGGGTAATCGCGACGATGTTTTCGTCGCATGCCATGGACAGGACGTGTATTCTGTGAAAGTAAAGCCTCGCACGTTTTGTCTATCATTGCAAGTGTCTCTCTCTCTCTCTCTCTCTCCCTCTCTCACACACACACACACACACACACACACACACACACACACACACATAACACACACTCGAACCCACAACTCTCCCTCTCTCTCACACATAACACACTCGAACCCACCTACCTCTCTCTCTCTCACACATAACACACTCGAACCCACCTCTCTCTCTCTCTCTCTCTCTCTCTCTCACACACACACACACACACACACACACACACACACACAACACACTCGAACCCACCTCTCTCTCACACACCCACACAATCACGTCTCTCTCTCTCTCTCTCTCTCTCTCTCTCTTTTTCCGGTGCTTGCCTCCCAGGGAGTAGGGGGAAAAAACAAACAGAAAGGATTTGGTTGAATTTTGTTCTGTTCAGTTCGTGTATCTGCATGATTCGGAACGCAGTAGATGTTCTGTGTTAGTAAAGCTGTTGGAGGCCTATGCGCAACTGGAATAAAAAATAAATGAATGAGTAAATAAATGAGTAAATAAATGAGTAAATAAATGAACAAGTAAATTAAATAATTGAGAATAACTGGAAAAAGAAAAACAGGAAAACAAATAAACAAATAATTTGAAAAAAAAAAAACAAATAAACAAATTAACAAATAAAGGAATGAATAAAAGAAGCAAATAGTAAATGAAGAAATAAATAAATAAAAAAAATTGGAAGCATGAGTCTCAGGGGGATGGACGTATGCGCTACTTATGGAAAGTGGTTTATTTATTAATTTTATTTATTTATTTCCATCTATGTTTAGGTGACAGCAGGGAATGCCAGAGTCTCAGGGCATACTCACATTCCGGTTTTCGTTGATGCATCTGGCTGCAATTACGGCCGGACCTGGACGTATCTGATCGCAATTATCTCCAAAAACCACCAGCCAAAAACGTCTTAGATTCAGAGTGAGTATGTGAGTACTCTTTTGAAAAAAAAAAAAAAAAAA